GTTTAACAGGTGCAATATTAATAATTCTACCCATTTATTAACATTATTTATTAGTCGTCTTTAGCATCATTCCAATGAGCAGAGACGTTTCGTAATGAAGTTCCCGGACTGCCGTACCTCGCTTTATTAAATATGCAATGTGGATTTCTGTACTTAATAGTGATTATAGCATTTCCAAATTGTATGGCTTCTTTTGTCCCGTGGATCATTCATCTTGACCCAGCCGGAAATGACTTTATCATCGTTATTTTAATACTTATGCTCGCAGTTGCTTTCCGTTGCTTCGACAAGCTGCACCGCACAAACCTACGCACAACAGTTGAAACTGCACTAATTTTGTAATTTTATTCAAGTTGAATTGTTTGAATAATTTTTCCATCCGACTGCTACTCTAGATTTGATTCTTCCAGTGAACGAATGATGTTCCCCGTACCGCAAACGGTTTCTGCTACGTATACAGTTCTGCACAGCTTGCGCTATCAGAAAAGCACAAGTTTACGAGTAAATAAATATAACATTTACAGTAAATAAATATACCATTTAAGAGCAGATTTTCTGGCGCACTTCCGGCGCACCAGGAACGCCGGTTACCAGCTGCCCAGCCCGGGCATCCGGCGCAGCATCGCCTACGGAATGCGTCGACCGTGCCAACGGGGCGAGTAGCCCGATTTTATTCATTCACAAAAAGTTTTATTATTACAATTTTCCTTATAAACAATTGTGGTGTTTTTATATTTTTTTCATAATATGTGTTTTCGAAATTTCATTACTAAAACCCCGGAAGTTCATAAAAGGGATTGTTCTGCTCGGCATTCCGACCGCAGCGATCCACTCGGTGACTGCCACCGGCGTTTCCGCCAAATATATTCGCAAAGGTCACCAGTGCGGACAGTCTCCTGCAGTTGCGCTTCCGTGCACAGCGCGACCATAGGGGAATCCATAGGGTGGCGGAGTGTTGCGGCAGTGGAGTGTTTATTGTGGAAATGCCGGCGCGGAAATGCTGTGCAGGTGCACAGTTCAATAGTCACAGATTCTATCTGTCCGGCGGGCTTACAATTAACGCTAATATAATCAACGCTAAGTGGTTTCAGTTTTAACACTGCTCGAGTCTGGAAGAGGGTAATTGGCGGCGTCCTAAAACCTGATGGGATATTCGTGTTTGCGGTTATAAGAATATTAATGACATAACCGCAGACACGAAAATCCCATCAAGTACGCAGTTATAATATCGGCCATGTCAGCGAGATTATCAAGTGCTTAATGCGTGCTTTCCTTTCGACTGTAAGATTTGGTCATTTTTCTCAAGAATATTAGTACACCATCTCTTCCGGAAATTAACGGTGTCTGTGTTAATAATTAATCTGAACCCGGCCGCCGACGCCTGTATCATCTGCACATCGATGCACATTTCACAGGAGTCTGTTGGCGGGTGCCGATTGCTTCATCCAGCGTGATGCCCGCTGAAAAAATGGTACGAGTACAATAGTCCGTTTCTACTTGAAATAACCACAACTGGTCTCTTATTAGTTTCCAGGGAAATTCTGGTTATAACCCTGGAAACGTTTTTTTCTCAGTATTCGATTTAAAGAAACCAAATAAGTTTGAAAGCGCTTGTGCTTGAAATATCTACTAACATATTTATTTTATTGTTTCCTTCGGCTTTAACGCTATTATACTTCTACATATGTTATCTTCTGGCGATATGCCCAAATACTTGCAAAATCGACAATTCAGACTAGCCGTAATTTTTTTTACGTTGTACTGATTTCAACACTTTCAGCAGCATTTTGTTAAGGACTTTGTCTTTATCATTTTTATTAGGATCTTGGTCAGTGGCATTCTGTTATACGAGTGATGTACAAATAATTGTGCGGTTTTTGTAGAAATATTTCGAGAAGTTGGAACAATAACGCTGAACTGTGAACTGCCTAAATAGTTACATAATTCGTTGCTTGTCTGTGAGTACTTATTACGTAATATGTAATGTAATTCTGTAATAAACATGTCTATACATTCATACAATCTTACCGTCAAAACGCGTAATTTCGTGGGTTATTATGGAAAAACCAACGCACGGACAGTTTTAGTCCAGCTTAGTCTGGAAATGAGCCTTATTTTCCATAGGTATTTACGCTGAATTTAATTGTCCCTAGAACTGCCAGGTTTGAAAACTCTCTTAGTCGTTTTAAGTATAGGAAAGCCTGAATCTCCATGGATTACAATACGAGGTCATCCAGAAATTTCGTAAGGACCATAGCAAGAAGTGAGGGGCGGATAAAATTTACGGCATCTTACATTTAACATACTTAGAATGTCAACCACCGTGGGGGACGGGTGAGAATTTTATCTTAATTAGTATTCCTGAGATTTCGGAACGATCCAGACAAAGTATTGTTTTACTTAAGTGCTTACAGTATTTGAGAAGCCTGACAACAACATTGCGTAGAACTCTGTAATTTAAGTATGTATGACATTTGAAGTAAGGACAACTGTAACCATGGATCTGGGACAACATGCATTAATGTAGTTTGAACTGTACGTTGAGTGTACGCTAGTCGATTTTTGCGATAGCATAATAATGAGTGACTGACTGTCCCGTGAACAAAATCTGTAGGTAAGTGAGTGACCGAGCTACCACGACTCATGAGAAAATGTTCTAGATGAGTGAGTGAACTAGCTACAACGACTTATGAGCAAAATCTGTAGGTGAGAAAGTGACCGAGCTACCACGATTGTCCATTGAGGAAAATCTGTACGTGAGTGAGTGACCGAGCTACCATGACTCATAAGCAAAATCTCTAGATGAGTGAGTGAACTAGCTACCACCACTGTCCCGTGAACAAAATCAGCAGGCGATTAAGTAACCGAGCTACCACCCCTCATGAGCAATATCTCTAGATGAGCGAGTCAACTATCTACCACCACTGTCACGTTAGCAAAATCTATAGGTGAGTAGGTAACCCAGCTACCACCACTGTCCCGTGACCAAATCTGTACGTGAGTGGGTGACCGAGCTACCATGACTCATAAGCAAAATCTCTAGATGAGTGAGTGAACTAGCTACCACCACTGTCCCGTGAACAAAATCAGCAGGCGATTAAGTAACCGAGCTACCACCCCTCATGAGCAATATCTCTAGATGAGCGAGTCAACTATCTACCACCACTGTCACGTTAGCAAAATCTATAGGGGAGTAGGTAACCCAGCTACCACCACTGTCCCGTGACCAAATCTGTAGGTGAGTGAGTGACTGAGGTACCATGACTCGTGAGCAAAATCTCTACTCTAGATGTGTGAGTGGAATAGCTACCACCACTGTCCCGACCGAGTTACCACGACCCATGAGCAAAATCTATAGGTAAGTGAGTGATCGAGCTACCAACACTGTCCCGTGAGCAAAATCTGTAGGTGAGTGAGTAACCAAGCTACCACGAATAATGAGCAAAATTTGTAGGTATGTAAGTGAGTGAACTATCTGCCACCGTTGTCCAGCAAGCAATCTGTAGGTTATTGAGTGACCGAGCTACCACCACTGTCCGCTACCACGACTACTGTCGTTAACACAACTGTTGTATCTCGTAACAGTCCATAAATTCAAGCTTGACCTTTCCAATACACATTTGCCGAGCGCGGAGCGCGAGGCTTACCTTGTACTGTAATAAAGCAACACAGATACTGCCGGCCAAAATGTTTTTGTAATTACCGCAATCAAAACCATTAAAGGCATATTTTGGCCAGTACGTCAACTTTCCACTGTCAAATATTACGCAATATTGACCGGTGAAAACTATTGAGGCTACTGTACAGTTTTGATTGATGCCGTAATTAAACACGGGAAAAATCGAGTCAGAAATTAATGAAGTTGCGCTTATATGCATCACTAAAATACATACTACTGAAGCTGGTATATCGTCGCCTGAGATGATAAGAGAGTTCCCGTACTAAAAGCGATTTTACGATAAAGGCTCCACAAAAGAACGTTGAATGTCCACTTTGTTTTGTGGAACGTGGATCGTATTTCGTAAGGTTCTATGAGCGTGGACCTGATGAAGGTTCACGCGCAGGAACAGAATTGACGGAATTCTGCCTGCCAAACAGATCTGGCAATGCTATACAGCGCCTACGCTATGGAAAGCGAGAAACGGCGTGATTGCTAGAAATTTATAGACAAGACTAAATTCGATAGAATTTCCTCGTGGACAACTCCGCATTGCTGACTGCAACAAGCGTGAAAAATGCGCACGTAGCCGCCACATGATGCGGGTGCGCGCAGAACACCATGCTTTCGCCACACGTAGGCGGGCGTGCAACAAAACACAACAGACTGCCAAAGCGAGGGTGTACGCATGTACGCCTGCGCTCACATGCCTCTGGGAGGGAGGCTGAGCTCCGTCGAAGCAAAATCCACGTCCAATTCCTTGGGATTCTTGACGGCTCGTCTGTGCGCATAAAAGAACATCGAGATTTTATCTCCTTTTAACATCACAAATTCCAATTACATGTGTGAATAAAGAGATCTCGAAACAAAAGTAAAAACAGTAAAAAATATCAACAGAATTCATTATCAAAACGACTAGGATCCTCCGACTCGTAAAGGTCACTGGGTCCTGTCAACCGTAATCCACTTTGGTCCATTCCGCTCTATTGAGCAATCTTTTTCATCACAATGAGAGATCCGCTTTAGGAATAGGTGCGTATCAAGTACGACTTCTGAATACTGCTTCTTCATCTTTGGAATAATTGCGTATCAAAGTACGACTTCTGTCAAATGAGATTCTTCCTCTTGGACATGGAGGGACGTCTTGAAAGACAAGCTTAATGCTTCCTCCCTGGTAAGGTCATTCTCTTTTTCTCGATGACTCTCTTGAGCAGTGAAGTTCTCAAAGGTCATCCTTTCTTTTCCGATGTGCGACTCATTTGGGCAGTGACGATCCCAAAAGGTCATCCATTTTCCTTCGTAAGTTCCATATTAAAGGTCATGGAGGAACTTAGCCGATTTTTGGCTTTCAAGCAATTCTGCTTGCCTCCCTTGTAAAGGTCATCTATCTTTTTCAACCATTTTCTTCTGTCGCACATCCTTTCCTTTCTTTTAGTGCCAATTGACGCGCACCTTTCTTCTTTTCCTTACCAGGTTCGAGGGCCGGTTAACGCCGTAACTCCTCTCTTCTGAGGCCGGTTGTCGCCGTAACCTCAACATCTGAAAGTTTTTACCCCTATTTTCTTGAACTCTTTCTCTTTTTCACCCTTGTGGCTTCTGACATTCCTTAAGAGTGTGCCGACTAGGTAGGCCGCAACTACACTCTAGAAGTGACGTTTAAATGTAATGAGGAAGGCCGGTTAACGCCGTTACTCTTCCTGCTTCGAGGGCCGGATGACCTCCGTAACTCCCCATATTAAAGATCACATTGATCCCCTGCAACAAAGTTCTGCAAACAACAATACACAAACGGTATGACAATTCAATACGTTATGTCTCCTTCGCCCTAATACTGTACCTTCGTTACCATTCTCGTGCTGCCGACTGATGGCCGTAACTAGCACATCAGCGATGCCCTAAAGGTCATCACTGATCATTTGAACCATCGTCGCGGTTCCGATCGAAACGTCTTTGTTTTTCATTCTGATCAGACGTTCGATCTCGAGGTTCCATTCCCCTCTCTTGCAGCTCGTCTCCTTCGCTCCGGCTGCTAGCACCACTGTGCCGATTTCGGTCACGTCTGCGCTGAATACGGATCAGATGATCTCGAGCGTCAACCATTCGCGCTTTTAATCCTTCATCGTATGGATTATCCCGTGACCTCTTGCACAATTCGACATAGTCCAAATGCAGCTGTTGGTTTCTTCGTCCTCTTCGTTTCATTTCATTTTCCTGCGGCTGTCTCGCGAGCTCTGGACGGTAGCTGCCTCTATTTACGCTGATTTCTTGGATGAAATCATAGAAGAAGTCGGATGGCTGGATGAATCTTGTTCCCATCGTAATCCTGATTCGCTCTGCACATCGGTGTGCGTGCATCTTCGCCTGACGTCTCAGACTTTCATCGAAATTCATTGCTCTCTGGACGTCTTTCAGCTGCCTCCTGGCCGTTTCCGAGGAGTTAAAGTTCTTAACAGGCATTCCCAGCTTTATAACTTGCGCGGTCAGTGCTGGCGGTATCTCTATACCTCTTTGGGCGCTCTTTCGCAGCTGGTGATGCGATTCGTAATGGCCGAGCCTTGCTGCAAAAATCTTCTGAATCGTGGCGCGATGATCGGGCGGAGAATCTGGTTTGACCAACAATCCTAACGCAGCCCTTCCTGCGAGGAGTCTCAACGCCGGGTTCACATGTCGCAACACAAATTGTGCTACGTGGAGTCGTCTTTCCTTGATGTCTCTGTATTGGAACTGCGTCATTCCTGTTGGATCGGGAGTGTCCAATGGTGTTTCCAAGAGACTCAGGTCAATCAAACTGACAAGGCCACATTCTCTCGTTGGGAAATAATGAAGATTCGCCGATTCTTGCGTAATGATAAGGTCTTCCCATTGGCCATACTCGTATTCCTTCGCGTATCCCGAGTCGTTAATGACCTGGCGCAAGTTCATGAGAAGCCAATAAACTTTGTCGAATTCTTCTTTATTATCCGGCGCGATGCCCACCGAACGGCAAATCTCGTTCGTCTGCTCCATGATATCATTCATTTCGTATACCAGCTCGATGGTTTGGAGGGAATGTCTCCTCGGAGCGGTGACCCTTGCTTGACCTTTCTGGTCGCCCTTCTCTGAATCTGATTCTGGCGGTGCATTACTCGCCGTCTCTGCGCTTGTAAGTTGTCGCTCCAGATCGAAGATGATGTTTCGTCTCGACGGTCGCATGTCCTCGTCTCCATGGACTTCAATGACATTTGAGGATGCTGGACTACATTCCATGACCTCATCCATCTGCTGTGCCGGTTGTTTCTCGGCTGACTTGAACGTTGAACAAACAGAATGAACTACTGATTGCATTCTGCGCGGGCTCTTAGGCGTGCGGTGGCTTTCTGAGCTGGATGACCTTTTACTGTTGTAAGATTTATCTCCAAACTCATAATCATCCATATTCCAGTTATCCTGGACCCACTCTTGATCATATGGCCCCCTTTGAGGATGTTGATTTACTCGAGCCCTCACTTCTTCCTTCTCGATTCTGTGAATCGCGATTCTGCGTTTCCTTAGCAGCCCGTTCCTTCTCCTGCTGCCTATTACAGGTTTCGTTGATTTTCCTGTATTCCTCCGCCAAGCGCTTTTCTTCCGCTTCTTCTGGCGGCGCTTTTCTCTTTGTTCTTTTTCACGTCGGATACGTTCTTCATCCCTTCTCTTTTGCTCCGACGTACGCGTATCTCTCGCATATCCACTGTATCGGTCGTTATGATGTCTTTCCCATGACCTTTCTCGGGAGCGGTCTGATGACCTTTCATAGCCGCGGTTGCGATCATCCCTTTGAGGCGATTTTGGGCGTTTGAACTCCTCTTTCTTGAAGTTCCGAAGGGCCTCAACCACATCTTTCTCTCGTTTTCGGAAGTTTCGCATCCTGTCGATTCGTTCCTCAATCGCAATCTTGATGACCTGAGACGGCCTATTTCCTTTCGTTAGGCTGACCTTTTCGTCCAAGAATATCTTGTATTCTTCTTTCGACACGGCGAGTGGATCTTGCAGGATGGTGTCAATTTGCTGTATCAGTGACTGTCTGATCACCGCTGCTTCTCCCTCGTCTTGTTTCTTCAGTATTGCCATTGGGATAGGTGCGTGACCTTTAGCTGCTTCGGCTAAACCCTTCTCTGCCGCAGCTTTCTCCTTCTCTTCTAAGCGCTTTCTCTCTGCTTCGCGCTTTTCTTGTACCATTCTCATTGTATCTTCTTCAAACTTCTTTCTGAAAGCGTCTGCTTCCGGCGTTCTCGGCGGTTCCAGGGTGATATCCCATCCCGGTCTGCGCCCGACCCACATTCGGTATTTATCTTCCAGAATCATCCGATCTTCCGGTGACAGTTTCTTCCATGTGTCTCCCGTAACCAAATGTCGGAACACATCGAGGTTACCCTTCTCGCCTCTTCTGGTACTACCACTGCTTGGTTTGGTACTGCGACCACACAAAGCCAGCATGGGAATCGTTCGTTCGACAGGATGTTATTCCGCTTGCAATCTGGGCAGTCCTCATTGTAATTCGTCAGAGGATCTCCGGTCACCTTCTTTATTGCTGGTCTTTGGCCCTTTTCGCCGCATTCTGGTTAGGTTGGCTCCGTTCAGCCATTTTGACCTTTTCAACCTGCAATCTCAAACAATATAATGCTATGGCCTTTACGTTAACCCTTCTCAACGCCTAGTTTACGCCTATGATAACTAGGCTATTCAGTGCTGAGCTGAGACTTTTCGCTGCTCTTTCACGATGACCTTTGCCATCCTTCTTTGACTAAACCCTTTTCAACTGTCTATGTGACCTTTCTCATCTTAGCCCATTCGCTAAGTACTTTAGTCCATTCGCTAATTCAACTCTTCTTGCAGAGTGTGGTTCGAAAGTAATCTGAGAACTACGGTCTGCTCCTTTGCTTGTCTTTTCTGATTCTGTTTCTTCATCTTGTGTGGTGGACCTTCCTCCCACACTTATTCTTTTCTTTATGCCTTTGCGATCCAGTCATAACGGTCGATTCCATTCCTCTTCCATGTTCTGAGAGTTCCGTCTTTGACCAGGCTATCCAGTGCGTTCTGGATTTTGAATCGATCTCCGTTCATGTTTTCCTGACCAGAGTCGTATTGGACCGCCATATAATTGGACACATCTTCTTGCGTAACCCCATTGGTTCCACCGATATTCTGCAGAGCATCTTTGGTCAGGGCATCTTTCCACGCTTGGGGACCTGGCTTCGGCCTCTGCTTTCGTTGATCTTCAACCGGAGGGATGTAATGAATCGGCATATTCGTATTTGTGTATTTCACACCGATTTTCCTTCCTTGTATGCCCTTTTCATGATTTTATTGACTTGTGTCCTGGTGATTCCGGCGTCGCTAACTGCTTTAGCGATTTCCGTCTTATCCATTTCTCTTGACGGAACTGCACCAATCGCAGCGCAAATCATCATCCACGGGACGTTGGTTTCAGAAAGGTCATCACCAATCATATAACTTGGTTTGCCGTCGACGATATCCTCTTCCAATAATTCGAAAGGTTGTTCTTTTCTACTTTTGGTGAAGGTTGCGCTTGTTGTGGCACCTCTTTCGGTGGTTGCGGTACTGATGACGGAGCCGGATTGCCTTGACTCGAGCTCGGGTGACCTTGCTCCCCTGAAGCTGAAGTTTGGTGACCTCTCGTTGTGTCCTGAGCGGCTTGACCTTTCGCGTCTTCTTTGCCTTGCGTCGCTTTTTCGTGTGCTGCTTTTAACGATGTCAGTGCTGTTGTCGATCGGTGGATCTTTTGGGTATCCACTGCTGAACTGGATCCACTTGCCCTTTGACTTCGTACGGCGGCAAGTGCTTCCTGTACCGACATCGGTTTCGGTGGTCCCACCAACGCAATAGCCTCTTCAGCCGATTTCGGCGCATGCAGTTTCGGTTCACCCTTCTCTACCGTTTCTGCCTCTTTTTCTTCAACGACATTTTCTTCAACGACCATTGATTCCTCTATTTGCTCTTCTTTCTCTTTCTTCGATGAAGTTGCCGCTTTTTCACTATCCAATTTGATCTGACTCAAGATGGGGCATTCCGCATCGAGTCTCGGATCCAATATAATGGTGATATCTTCGCTCATCTCTTCATTCTTATATTGTCTCAATTCTTCTGGGACGGCGTTCAATGAGCTGTATCTGATGGTAACACCTTTGTGTGGATTTGTGGTGTGCAGCTTCTTTTCCGCCACCATTTGTGTTAGCGCTCTTCCGAGTGACCTTTCAATGGCTGAAGCGTTTCCCTTCTCTTTGCTCCAAACTCCATTGATGAACTGCGCCATACGGTGTTTCGTCGTGCCCATGGGGCTGCACATCCCGATGATGGCGCGTTCAATCCGTTCTCGGATATCTGCATTTGCTGTAGCCAACTTCCGCTCATTATTGTTCCCGGTGATGTACAGCTTCGCTTTGTTGCCGTATTTCGGGTGTTTCTGGAGAACTTTTCCTGTGCTCCTTGCGTATTCCAGGACGGCGTTGTACTTGCTCTGCGGCAGTCTTTTATTCGTCTCTTCGCAATACGCCTTGACGTCCTTTCTGAATTTCGATGTAACTGATCTCGTCGCCTTTCCCCAATCTGCTGTTGCTCCGATGAGGATTTCGTCAATTTCTTCGATTGTTGTTTGTTCGTTCGACTCGCAGACGAAGAATCGGTCATCGTATTCGTCGTCCGTGTAATCCAATTCGCTGTCCCCTTCGACAGGTCTCCAGTTCACGATGTCAGCTGCATCGACTCGTCCGATAAGAGTGTTCCTGGCAGTGACCTTTGGTTTCTTCTGTGCATCCATATAATCTGCCAAGCTGGGGTCAGATTTTCTTGTGTCTCTGACCTTTCTTTCTTGTATCTTTCTCTTTTATTGACGACTTCGACGATGCGGCGCTGACTTCCGATTTCGCCGATTCGACAGAAGTATCCCTTTTCTTCTCTTTATCAGCCTTGTCCTTGCGTTCTTTCATCGTCGACGCATAGATCGGCTGCATCGTCATCGCTTCCTCCATCACCTTGCGTGATTGACCTTTGTCCTTCTCTTCGTCGGTCTCGGCTTGTGACGACCCTGCTTTTGCGTTGATAGCCAATTGTTCTGGCTCAGAGTCCGATTCGGGTTTCTCTCTTTTCTTTTCCATAACTCCCAGTAACTTCGGCTGTCTGACAAAAGTTTCACCGGCGCTACCTTCTCGTGCCGTGACCTTAACTGGTTTCCTTTTCTTCTTCTGATCTTCTTTCTTTTTCTCTTCGTCTTTCTGACATCTTTTACATTTAGGGTCGTTGCATGAGTGCGGTTGAACTTCTCCTGCAATTATCGCTTTGACCCTTTCCGCGGTTCTTACGGGAGTCGGATGTTCCTCCTTCTTGATCTCCCGTTCTCGCGATTTTTCCTTAATCTCTTGACCTTTCGTATCTTTCTTCTCTTCGTGACCTTTCTCTTCTGCTTTAATTTGCTCGGGCTGACCCTTCTCAGCCGGTTTCTTGACCTTTTTCGCCCCCGACAGCTTGGTCAGTGTTTCGCCTCTCGAAGTGTAAAGCTGCTTGTACACTTCTCCATGGAAAGGGTCAATATGGGTCAAGCGCATGTATGCTCCGTCCTGGCGTGCTCTTGGCATCATGACGTTAACCAATACTTCGGTTATGGCTTCGAACTCTTCGCGCTCCTCCTCTTGTGGCAGGACCTGCAGTACTTGCTCCACCTCTTGCATGAGTTTTGATGTTTCCTCTTCTTCCTCTTCTGGAGTGAAGCCTGCGTTTGACACCATTTGTCCCGTCTGAGGATCGACCACTTCGATTCTGAGGATCCCTTCTCTTCCTTCTTGATTCATGAATTTGTAGTCGATGCGTCGACACGGTGATCCCCTATCGATTTCTTCTTGAGTCTCCATGGCTTCGGCTTGGGCCGGCGGGTCACCAGAGTAATATTTAATGTGCTCTTCCGCCGTCGGATTAAATTGGAAGTTTTCCGGAAAATAGAGCCCTTTGCCCTTGGAGTCGAAGAGTGATTTCCACTTTCCTTCGTCATCTTTCCAAAAGATTACCAAATAGGCTCGGTCTTCTTCGGCTCTGTGCCTGAGGATACTCATCACTGCTTGTATATTCGCAGCAGTGTCATTCCGCTGGTCCTCTGGCAGGAGATTGAGAATCTTATTAAGGTCACTATACGACCTCTGTGTTTGCCAATCAATTTCTTGAGGAGTCGCCTTCGTTCCTGCTGTCGGGATCGGCATATAGGTCGTCGGGTCAATGATAAAACCGTGGACGTATCCCTCATCTCCGTCCGCCATGTGATAGTTGACCTTTAGACATCTGCACACTGTCTCTCTGTATGGCGGGTTTTCTTCATCTTCTACCTCTTCTTCCCATTCTCCTTCTTCTTCCGCCTCGTGCCCCTTCGCACCTGACGCCGGGTATGCTCCATGCGAGAGCATATCAATCTTTTCACCTTGCGGGTTATAGAGTTGCTTCTCCATTCTACCCTTCGCATCAATTGTGACCATGATGTTCGCCTTCTCTTTGAATGCTGTTTCTCTCAACAAGTCTCTCAGGATTCTTCCTATCATAGTTGGGTTATTCCGTTCAGACTTGACTACTTCACCGATTGCTTCCTCTGCTGTATCGCTGGCTTCTTTGCACATCAACTGATATTCGGCTCGGTCAGCTCCTTCCCCCATTGATGGAATTGGTTGATCAGTGTCTCTATGGACTAGGAATGCGCTGACTACTCCTTCCGTTTTATCTTTAAGCCGGAAAACTCTGGTGTGCGATCTACATTTTGTTTCTCGAGCTGCGCCCCTTCGCGTGCTCGCGCCAGGATGACCTTTCGGTTTTTCTTCTTGACCGGTGTGACCTTCCTCCACCGGGAGTTGACCTTTTTCGTATTTCAATTTAGATTGAGTTTCTCTCGCTGGGCTGGCACGCGATGATCCTGATTGTACTGCCGATGTCGTACGAGACCTCAATTCCATAATTTCTCTGTCGAGTTTATCCCTTTCTCTCAACAGTTCTCTTTCTCGAGTTACCAACGGGTCACTCGGAGGCTGAAACGGGTCATTCCTCGTTCGCTTGGTCGTATGCTCTTCCTTAGTGGGGCTTTCCTCGGCCGGAGTTTTGACTCCTCTCTCCTGTTCTTCTTCTTTTGGTTCCGGGGGAATGAGGTTCATGAAGATCAGTATCGTCTTTACTGCGCTCGGCCATTCCCTATTGCGCAACACTGGATTACTGTTCTTCAGTGTTCTGATTTCAACACCTCTTTCTTTTCGCAACTCTTCCGCCTCGTGTTTATCCAGTTTCATGTGGAGGTGGGTTCCCCTGGTTATCTTGTGAGTTCTTCGAGCCGTCCTGTACTGATCTTGATTATCGTTGATATCGTTATGCAGCTGGACGAACTCGCGGCATTTTTCATTAAACTCCACCACAGCCCTCTTTTCTTCCTCTGTGAGGGTGACCTTTGGATCGAT